GTATCGTAGAGAATGACCAGATGGCCGAATCTGAATCAGATCGTATCATTAATATAGCCAGAATAAAGAAATTAATTTTCAGTTACTCCTCCAGAACGAGACCAAGCTACTCATTCTCTTTATCGCTCGCACATACTCTGCCCTGTGTAACGCGCGACCTTTGCGGAGAAGATGAAGAATATACATTGTTGCTGTATAATCTACATTTCAGATGTGGAATAAACATGTTAGATGTAGATGATAGATGTAGCAAAAAATGTAAAAAATTTTGAAATTCTAGATAAATCATAAGCTCACAAATTCATACATATACTGGCTGAGTACGGGTATAAAAGTGGAGAAGCGACTCACATGTTCCTTCTCGTTTTATTTGTTTTTCAGTTTAAAAATAAATTTTCATGAGTTTAATAATCGAACTTCGCACATGTAACGTAATAGCCTTTTCCCACACAGCACATCCATGAGGAACGGTGGGAATTTTAGACAGATGTGAAACTCCGATTCCCACTGGCACCATCCACCATCTACCATCCATGAAAAATAGCTGATGCACACAATTTAGTGCGGCGGAAAATTTTTTTCTTTTATAATCTAAATGAATATAAATAATATTGCAGTGATTGTGAATTTGACTTAGCACCAAAATATATTCTTCCACAATCTAATCATGTTGCTGGACATGGATGATGATAATAAGGCCAACATTGACGAGGGGAATTTATTGGAATGGATATCTGTTTTGAAAACACTGAAGCGTGGTCATTTATGACTGCTTCTACAAATCCAATCAGTGTTTTAAATAAAAATATATATTCTATGTTTTTTGAGAAGTGGTTTTGGGACATTTTGGGAGAAAGGTGTACCCGAAAACGAGGCGAATTTTAAGGAAAGTTTTGTATAGCCATAGCATTGTATACTTTGGGTTATTTTTCTGAGTACAGAACAGTCGGAAGGCTGTCAGCAAACAGCGTGTGCAATATACTGCATGAGTTTTGCAGAGCATTCATAAAAGAATTCCCAGTCCACAAACCGAGTTTTTCTGCCTGAGACAATTCCGACATATCAGATGTTTTGTTGTTGTTTTTACCATTTTCCTGTCTGTCATAGTTTACATTTTCGTAGTGAATTCCGATTTTTTATTGTAAATGTCAAATATTTATGGTTGCATTTGACAATTATCGAAAAAATACAGAACACAGAAACGTGCGAATTAGGAACATCCCAGATGATTGGTGGAATAACTGGAAAATTTTCGGAACGGCAAAACCTTACGGACCATCCCCGAAATGGATGGTGGCCTGTGGGAATAGGCTATAACAGTCTCTTTACTTCCTTATAGGCTGTGCACACTGAGCCCATCCCGGGGGAACAGTGATAAATTTTGAAAGATGTGAAATGACGATTTACATTGGCACCATCCCCCATCCATGAAAAACAGCTGGATGAGCATAAAATAACAAAGATTTGTGTGGAAAATGTACTGTTCATTAAACAAGAATGGATAATAATTTGGCAATTGTCTTTGCTGTCGTTAAACGGCAACATAACATTTTGAAAAAGTTAATAGTGTTGTTACAAATGTATTAATGATTAATGATGTTCGATTTCAGCCGTTATTATCGACTTGGCCATCTTCATATAAACATGGGATTTCTTACGAGGTCCCTGGAAATCCTCAATACTTTCCAGCCAAATATCATTCAAAATATTCCCCATTTCAGCAGACCAATAAAAGCCTGCCGCTTGTTGTTTTCTAATGGCTGTAAAATTAGAATGCATAGGAATAAAAAGCAAATAGCAAATTCGGTTTTTTCATTTTGATTGTCAAATATTTATGGTTGTATTTGAAAATGATCGAAAATATACAGCACAGAAACGGGTGAATTAGGAACATCCCAGATGGATGGAGGAATAACTGGGAAATATTCGGAACGGCAAAACCTTACAGACCATCGCAGAAATGGATGGTGGATGGTCGCCAGTGTGAAAAGGCTATTTAGCTACAAAATGTTTTACTACTCGTTAAAAATTTCAATATTAGAAATTTCATAGAGAAACGAATACAATGGCTCTGGCGAATGAGTCAAAACGGACAATTTTACCTTTCCAACAGCGCAGCATATGCCGGGGTTTCCGATTGAAAGTTCAATGAATTGCAATGCTGGAATACGACAGACAATGAACCGATATAAACGCAGCGCAGATCTGGGTAGGCTATTGCCCAATCGTATTTGAAAGCAGCGCGATTCAAGTCTACTGGTCGAATTTGAGTTAGTAATTGTGCAGCGTGAACCTGTGCAATACGGAAAAGTCTCCATTCATTTACTTAGATTAATAGAGACAGTCCGATTACTTATTTCACGACGTGTACGTCGTCCAAGGTTTGATCGTCTAATCGCAGGCATATTATAACTCAATTGATGAATAATATCTCGAGTTTAGTACTAATATTCGACTATGACAATTGCCTCTTCACCTACTTAGCGGACATTAATCAAGCAAATAACTCAGTTTATTAAAATTATTTAAAGTTTAGGACTCATCTGCATTCCTACTAGAGCAATTACACTACTCGACAAAATCGAACTTTTTTTTTTTCTCAAGGATCCAAACCGACTTTTTCTGATAGACATGGGACTTTAAATTTTTTTTAAGAATTATGGTTTTTTTCTATGGCAGTACTTATCAAAAAAACAGTTAAGGGGTATATTAGATTTTTGGTAAAAGTGGATGTGTGTAACGCAAAAAGCAAACGTTTCCGACCTCATAAAGTATGTATATTCTTGATCAGCATCAATAGCCGAGTCGATATAGAGCTAGGGCAACCAAATTTGGTTTCCAGTCTCAGTGATATCACACTGCTAAAAGTTTATTTCAAAATTTCCACACGCCCCCTTCCACCATCACAAAGATAATAAAGACTATCCGTGGCAGGCACAATTTAAAAGATACGATAAAACTGAAAGCGCAGTATCGTAGCCCATATCTACCAGATTGCCGAATCTGAATCAGATCGTATCATAATTATAGTCAGAATGAAGAAATTAATTTTCAGTTTCTTCCCCCGCCAACAACCAGCCAGAGATACGCTGCTCATTCTCTTTCTCGCTCGCACACTCTGCCGCGTTATGTACGAGAGCGCCCTCTTGCGGAGGAGATGTAGAATCTAAACGGTACATGTATGATCTACACGTTAGATGTATAATATACATTGTAGATGTAGATAACGATAACAGATGTAGCCAAAAATTTAAGATGTAATATTTTTTTTGCTTATTTCTAAAATTCTAAAAAATTATAAGCTCAAAAATGAATATACTGACTGAGTACGGGTATAAGTAGAGTCGCGTCCCCAGAAGCGACTCCCACGTTCCTTCTCGTTTTTAATGATTTTCAGATAGCACTACCTCTGAAAAACCAAGAAACAATAAACAGATTTTAAAAATTCTTTTAAAAAAAATTACACCATACAAAAAAATTAAGTACTACAAATATTTTAAAATCACGAAATCTATCAGAAAGTCATTTTGGTTCATAGCCTAAATAAAACGTTCAATTTGGTTGAGTAGTGTTTTCTTAAAAACAACATTCAGTTCTTAATCAACAAAACCCTTGTTCCCTTGTGTTATCATTGTTCGCGCGTGGATCTGCTAGTGGTTAAATCTATTTAATCTAATCTAATCTATTTTGTACCCTGATTACACTACTCGACAAAATCGAACTTTTTTCTACTCAACGATCCAAACCGAATTTTTTTTATAGATATGGGACATTTTTTTAAAGAATTATGGTTTTTTTTCTATGGCAGTTCTTATCAAAAAAGAGCTAAGGGCTATATTAGATTTGTGGTAAAAGTGGATGTGTGTAACGCAGAAAAGGAAACGTTTCCGACCCCATAAAGTATGTATATATTCTTGATAAGCATTAGAGATCTGTGTAGCTCCATTCAAAAAAAAATTCCAATAGAATTCATTCGAATTGAATTGAGTTGAGTGAGTGACACACACACAATGAATTGAGTTTATACGAATGGGAGTGTGTGTGTGCCTCACACTTTTCAACATTCGGTTGTATGAGTTAGAATGAAGTAGTGCACAAAACGAAATGACAGAAATGGCAGAGACAGAGAAATTGGAATAACTCAAATTATTGCCGTGCACTCTATGCATTCTTTCACTTTCCTTTGAGCTGACCGGACGTACGAAAAAAAAAAATGTGTGGAGAAACAAACGCCGGTGATTCGATAAGAATTTTTGTACGCATGTACACAATATGTATTTTTTATACTCGCTACTCGAAAGTTTATGGATATATTGGAATTGTGGTCGAAAAGGATGTGTGTAACGCAGAGAAGGAATCGTTTTCGACCCCATAAAGTGTATATATTCTTGATTAGCATCAATAGCCGAGTCGATATATGATCTGTCTCTCAGCCATTTCTTGTTGCTCCTTTCACAGACTAGCTCATTTTAAGCAACGCATACAGAACCACACTCGATCTAGTTCACACAGGGTTGATACCAGAATAAAACACACACATACTGGTAACATAGATTTTCACTTAAACTCATTATTCTCCGACATATACATATGTAGGTTCAAGCCATATCAGTGGATGTTAAGGACAAACTTCAAAGCGGGATGTATAGTTTAATTCAGAAAAGGGGCAGAAGCAAAGTTTGGGAATTTTTCTCAAAAATTAAAAACGAAAATGGAGAGGAAGTCGATAAGCTATTTTCACCAACCGCCCCCAAGCGCCGTTCAATGTTGTGTGTATGAGTTTTACGTCAGCGCACTCACTCACTCAAACTCTGTTCACATGGCATTCGAATTCACTCAATTCATTTTGAGCATTGTTAATTCGACTGCCTGTTTTTTATTATTCATGCAGTACTCTAATAAGCATCAATAGCCGAGTCGATATATCCATGTCTGTCTGTCCGTCTTGATGAGCGACTAGATCTCAAAGACTATAAGAGCTGGAGCAACCAAATCTTGTTTCCAGACTCATATTATATCACACTGCTACAAGTTTTAGCAAAAACAATTATTGCTAATATTGTTGGCAAGCAGCTTCCACCACAGAGCAATCCGGCACCCGTTCTATGCCTTGTGCAATCGACATCTGCGGATACAAAGAAGCCTGCCACATGCTTATTCTGCAAATTCGGCAAATTCATTTTCGCGACGTATGCATGGATGTCTCGGAATCCGGCTCCCGCTCTCCCGAGTATAATACGATTTTGGAGAAACGAATTGGACCTTTATCAGCTGCTCAATTGCCGACAGGTTACAAGGAATCACATTTAAGTTCGAAATTGGCAGCGATGTCCCAACACCGTTGGAACTAGCTTCGGAACAGGCTACTGAGCAACCAATACTCTAGTTCTTGAACATTCATGCCTTGTCTACATAAGAAACGGCCCAACGGCCTCTCCGGACTACCTGGACCTAAACTTCCTTTATCAACACCCGCTCTCAACTCTGAGTGTGAAGCTGACGGATTCTGCAATGTCAGCATTCAACCATATCGTGCCAGTATTGGCGTCAAATCAAACGGTCTGAATCTGGATGGTATTTCTTCTCGTTGGTCTCATCAAATTCATTTGAACGAGCCCCCTCTTTTGACTTATGGACTTCATTCCCAATCTTTGTTAAACCTGGCTGGCCGTCATCCAATCAGCGTACCAAACATGACTCTAGTTCAGCGCACCACCACCTTAGGGTTCATCAACGCTAATAAACAGAAACTTCGCGCTGGACTTCGAGCTCTGCTTACACTAAGTCCATCCCAATATTGGCCTATTGGGGGGAGTGGAGCTGCCGTGAATATGGTCAACTACAATTGCTTTCCTATCACAGACAACTCAGGCAACATTTTGGACTTTACTAATTCTACAACTCCATCTTCAATTACAGAGAGTCCTGCCGATCTGGATGTGCTCTGTCTAGCGCTTTTGAATGGCGGCTCTCTCTGTTCGTTTCCTGAGCCTAGCGTAACATGCCTGATCGTGCGTAAATTGGATGTCAGGCAATGCGTTGCCATATCTTCTGGCCGCGATGGAAGGAAGACTGTAGTCTCGTCGATGCAGCTGCGTTCAAAGCGCATACAGAACCCTGTGCTGTCAGATGCACACCAACTAGCCAATAGCGACATTGGTTAAATTCATTCCCGGATTCATTGGCGAGTCCCGAGATGTTGTGCTAAAGACGGCATCAGGATTGCTACATCAAATCAGCCACAAGCAACGTCTGTGAAACCTTTCAGCATCTGTTGAAAGTCAGGCTCGTATGTATGGAGTATGTATCGTTTCCCATCCTGAAATTCCCCAACAAGTTCCTAAATGATAGCCAGTGGCAGAAAATAACGTAATTCCACATTTGTTTACTATTGTTACTCAAAACGGAATATTCCAGAACATTCTTTGGTCATTCGAGACGGATTCTTTTACAGTTTTGGTGTGCTTCTGTATTCTTTTGATAACACTAGTCAACACGACATTTACGCTGTGGCCCAAAATGACTTTTTCTGATTGATTTGGGGTTTAAAAATGTTTAACGAATTTTTTTTTATGGTTTAGTTCTTTTTTAAAGAGTTAAAAAAATCTGGTATTTTTTAATGTTGTTTTGCAGAGTAGTGCTTATATTTTTGCAACCAGATATAAGATACTTAAGTTATGTGAAAAATAGAAGCACTACCTCTGAAAAAAACCATGAAAAAAATTAACAGTTTTTAAAAATTCTTTAAAAATCCGAAATCTATCAGAAAATGTCATTTTGGTTCACAGCCTAAATAAAAAGTTAAATTTTGTCGAGTAGTGTTATGCGTCGTTTAAGGAATTGTTTATTCAAATCTATGGAGAGATTGTGGAGCTATAATTAGTTAACCAAACCTAAAAAAATGAAACATAGACAAAAAATACTTTTTGGAAGGCTGCGGGCCGGCCCCAACTGCCGATTGGGAACAAAGAAAACGAAAAGGGGTTGAATTTTTGGTACCTGAACGTGTTCCTTTTGCATTATTTGTTGTTGACAGTTAAATTATATTAGATTTATATTAGATTTGTGGTAAAAGTGGATGTGTGCAACGCAGAGAAGGAAACGTTTCCGACCTGTATCTCAGAGACTATAAGAGCTAGAGAAACCAAATTTGGTTTCCAGACTCATGTGATATCAAACGTGTATTTCAAAATTTCGCCCCGCCCCCTTCCGCCAACACAAAGGACGAAAATCTGTGGAAGGCACATTTTTAAAGGTACGATAAAACTAAACTAAACTAAACTAACTAACGCAGTATCGTAGAAAATGCCCATATCTACCAGATTGCCGAATCTGAATTAGATCGGATCATAATTATAGCCAGAATGAAGAAAATAATTTTCTGTTGGTTCTTCCGCCCCCTCCTGCACGAGACCCGCTACCTATCTCTTTCTCGCTCGCACACTCTGCCTCGTTCAGTGCGCGAGCAACCCCTAGCGGAGGAGGTGTAGAATCTAAATGGAACAGGTACAATCTACATGTTAGATGTAGATAGCAGATGTAGCAAACAAATGTAAATTTTTTTTTTAATTCTAAAATTCTAAAAAATTATATGCTCAAAAATTTATATACTGACAGAGTACGGGTATAAATAGAGTCGCGTCCCCAGAATCGACTCGCACGTTCCTTCTCGTTTTTTTTGAGAAACAAACCAAAAATGTATAAAACAAAAAATTTACCTATTTTTGCGTTCCGGATTTCTGTGTCCGCTACTGTAAGTTTTTTAACAATTTGGCATAAAAATCTCAATTTCGATAAAAAGTGGCATACGATACTTTCGCGGAAATGCGTGGGATATATTGCGGTATAAAAACAGCAAGAATATTGATCATTTGGTGGAATAGGGCTGATTACACTAGTCAACACGATTTTTCCTTAAGGAACAAAACGAACTTTTTCTTAAAGATTTGCGGCTTAGAAATGGTTTGATGATATTTTTTTTTTTCTATGGCAGAACTTTTTTTTGAAGAATTTTTGAAAACTGGTATTTTTTTATAAGCTTTTTTCAGAGGTAGCGCTTGTTTTTTTCACATAGCTCTAGTATCTTACGTCTGGTTGTAAAGAACTTTGCTATTTTGAAAAGATAATTAAAACAGCTAGAAGTTAAGCCCAATAACTTTGTGATTACAGCTTACCGTCTGGGAAATATAAAGCATTGAAATGCAAAAATGATGATTTTTGTGCGGTATTTTTTACGAAATTTTGACTTTAAAAACTCAGGAAAAGTCGAAAAAAAATTATATCCTGTGTCCTCTATTTTTTCGTGTATAGTTGCGTTAATTTGGCGTCGTTTAAGGTATCGCTCATTAAAATCTATGGAGAGACTTTTGAGCTAAAATTCGTTAACCAAACCTAAAAAATGAAAAATATGAACAAAAAATACCTTTTCGATGGTTGCGGGCCCAACTGCCAATTGGGAACAAAGCAAACGAAAAAGGGTTGTATATTTGGAACCTGATCGCGATCCTTTATTGACATATACAAATATCATTAAAATCAAAGCATAACGAGAAGGAAGTGTGAGTCGCTTCATTCTGGCTATAGAATCAGACATGGCTATATCGACTATTGATGCTGATAAAGAATATACATACTTTATGGGGTCGCAAACGTTTCCTTCTCTGCGTTACACACATCCACTTTTACCACAAATCTAATATACCCCGCGTCCCCAGAAGCGACTCACACGTTCCTTTTCGTTTTTGCTACATCTGTTATCTACATCTACATATACAATGTAGATTCTACATTCTAGATGTACCATTTAGATTCTAATCTGGAAGATATGGGCATTCTCTACGATACTGCGTTTTTAGTTTTATCGTATCTTTAAAATTGTGTCTGCCACAGATTTTCGTCCTTTGTGTTGACGGTAGGGGGCGGGGCGAAATTTTGAAATACACTTGTAGCAGTCTGGAAACCAAATTTTGTTGCCCTAGCTCTTATAGTCTCTGAGATCTAGGCGCTCATCGAGACAGACAGACAGGCAGACGGACAGACAGACATGGCTATATCGTCTCGGCTTTTGATGCTGACCAAGAATATATATACTTCATGGGATCGGAAAAGTTTTCTTCTCTGCGTTACACACATCCACTTTTATTACAAATCTAGTATACCCCTTAATTCCTCAAGTACGGGTATAAAAATTACCGAGTCCTACAAACTTACAAATGTGTTAAACTATTTCGCAGAAATATATGATTTTATTGTGTTCTCGATGCTTACTAAAAATGCATTAAACGAATCTCAATTTCACATACAGTTGCGGTCAAGATAATAGTAGTTCTACTAATGTATTTACATATTGCACATTTTTTCGGCTATTCCTTCCCTAATCGAATTTGTTTCTTTACTCGTACAACTATTAAACATTTCTGTCCTTGATTATAAAGTTATCATAGCGCGTCCCTTTTCTTTCCGTTATGTTTCCAGATTTTTCGATAAATATCGCCATTTCGATGCGGTCAAAATAATAGTAGTGCTACCGAAACAGTAGATCAATCATTACGACAGGCGAGGAGACACCATTTCGCTCCTGCTTCAGAATTAAAAACAAAGTTTTATTTTAAAAATAGTATTGCAACTATTAGTAGAAGCGTTCAAGATTATAATTGAATGACACAAAGCCTAAACCAATATTGTACTGGCAAAATACCATGCAGTCCCAAGGTTGAAGTTTGCTAGGGAATACCTAAATTGACCATAGTAAAAGTGGAGGAACATTTTATTTTCGAACTAGTTTAAAATTGTTTTTTTTTTTGTAGCCTGGCGTTTCGCTAGTTAAAAACATATTGGATCCTCATATATATATTTAGATATCGACCGAAATGATTCTACCTTAGGCATCTGAGGATATGCAACTTATTTTGACGTCCAGCGCGACAAAGATCCGAAGAGCCGCAAAGTTGCCAAAAATTGGTTCGCTGCCAATATAGTAAATTCATTGGAATGGTCGGATCGATCACCCGATCTCAATTTAATATGGAATTTATGATGTTATGTGAGGAGGTGTCTCATAAATAACACAATAAACTTTGGGACGTTTTACAAAGGTCCTGGAGGACGATTTCTGTAGAAAGGTACCAAAATTTAGTTAGCTCCATGCCAAAGCGTCTTTTGTTAGACCATAATCTCTTATGAAAAGTTGCACTACTATTATTTTGACCGACCCGTTTTTGAGGTACTTCAACATTTTATTCTGAGTTGATTTCTATTATTACAATCCGCAATTAAGGTAGACTCTAAAAAGAAAAGGAGAAGGAACGTGTGAGTCGATTCTGGGGACGCGACTCTACTTATACCCGTACTCAGTCAGTATATACATTTTTAAGCTTATGATTTTTTAGAATTTAAAAATTTAAAAAAAAGTTTACATTTTAAATTTGTTTGCTATATCTGCTATCTACATCTACATCTCCAATGTATATTATACATCTAACATGTAGACTGTACATGGTACATGGTACATGCATTTAGATTCTAAATCTCCTCCGCTAGGGGTTGCTCGGAGTAGCGGGTCTCTGGCTGAAGTGGGCGGGGAAACCAAGAGAAAATTAATTTATTCATTCTGGCTATAATTGCACTACTCGAGAAAATTGAACTTTTTATTTAGGCTGTGAACCAAAATGACTTTTTCTGATAGATTTCGGGATTTACAAATTTTTGTAGTACTTTGTTATTTTTTTTATGGTGTATTTTTTTTAAGAATTTTTAAAATCTGGTATTTTTTTTCAGGAAGTAGTGCTTCTATTTTTCACATAACTTAAGTATCTTATATCTGGTTGCATAGAACTTTGCAGTTCTGAAAAGCTGAAAAACGCAGCTATAAATCCGACCCAGACTCTTTGTATCTGCAGCTTAACGCCTGGAAGATATTAAGCTTTCAAATTTCATCATTATTTTTTTGCGGTATTTTTTATTTAAATTTTTATTTTAAAAACTCGGGAAAAGTCGAAAAAATTAGGCATTAATTAGGCGTGCCACAGCCTAATTCTAGTGTTGACTAGTGTTATGATCCGATCTAATTCAGATTCAGCAATCTGGTAGATATGGTCATTCTCTACCATACAACGCTTGTAGTTTTATCATATCTTTAAAATTGTGCCAGAAACAGATTTTCGTCTTTTGTGCAGGCGGAAGGGAGTGGGGCGAAGTTTTGAAATACACTTGTAGGATTGTGACATCAAATGAGTCTGGAAACCAAATTTGGTTGCCCTAGCTCTTAGTCTCTGAAATCTAGGCGCTCATCAAGACAGACT